GCCTTAAGACAGCTTTTTGGTTCAACTCCTGTTGTATTGATAACATTTTTTGTGTTTGTTCGATTGATTCAAAGGTCGTCCTGGAATGTTCAGCATGAAGGAAAGAGCCAAGTGGGATGCTTGGAAGGCCGTTGAAGGTAAATCTTTTCATATTCAGTTGCTACTGGTTTGCTTGTAACCATATGTAGCTGGTGATTATTATCTCAGGTTCCATCACTTAACCGAATCTGACATGTGATTGTCTTGGTATTGTTTTGGATGTCAGGGAAATCGACGGACGAAGCCATGAGTGACTACATCACTAAGGTGAAGCAACTCCTTGAAGCCTCTGCTTCAGCTTGATGGTGATTTATTAAATGCTCTTATGCAGTAATTCTATCTAAAGCTTCAAATAACTTTTTAGCACAAGACTTGTTCTTTGCTTCTTGTGTGTTTTCTATTGTTATGAACCTATTTATGGCCGTGGTCCTGATTTAAAGTTCCTGATTTAAAGTTCCTGATTTAAAGTTCCTGATTTGGGCCATCTCTTGAAGATGGAAGAATCTTGATATGCAAAATTGAAGTGATGTGTGCATTTTGGTAACGTATACGCATTATCTCTTTTTAATGTCGCTGTTAACTAAACCTCTGGGGTGATGTTTACACATCTATAAACACAAAAAAACACACACGCCTCAATCCACAGAGAAGTTACGTCCACGCCCAGATGCTGCGCCTACGACATAATATGCTTCACGTCATTTTCATGGATTTGTAGTCAATGTTAATGGGCTAACTTTGAGTCATTTATGGGCTTTTATCGAGAAATGAATAATAATGTCAGATTCATCATCCCTCAGTCGAGCCGGTTTACTTACAAACCAAACCGGACATAAATTACTTCACGCGGAACCGAACCGGCGTAGCTTTAGGAAGCTTGTTCATCTTCTTCCTCCACGAGCTCTCCAAAAGAAATTTCAAAATGAGAACTCTGGAATTAGCTTTATCTCCACCTCCAACATCTTTAATTCCTTCTTTCAACCACTCCACCACACAAACCGTCGGAGTTGATGTCAAGACCACCTTCAATGCTCAGCTTCTCCTAAGGAGACCCAAACACCAAAACCCAGAACCCGTCGTCGTCCTTCAACCCCAGATTCCGATAGACCGACCTCAAGCGCCCATTCCTCGTTGCTCGACTTCCGATATTCTCCGAATAATGGACTCTCTGTCTCTACCTGGAAACGAAGATCTATACTCTTGTCTCGCCAAGGAATCAACCACCGATTGCGATCAACGTGGAGCTTACGAACTAACAGCTCATATCATGAAGTCTAGTGTAAGACCCAGGACGACGTTTCTCAACCGTCTCCTCCTGATGCATGTATCCTGTGGGCGTCTAGATATCGCACGCCAGGTGTTCGATAGAATGCCTCACAGAGATTTTCATTCCTGGGCTATCGTTATTCTCGGCTGTATCGAAATGGGTCATTACGAAGAGGCTGCTTTTCTCTTTGTTTCCATGTTGAAACACCAGAATGGTGCTTCCAAGATCAGGCCTTGGATCATGGGCTGCGTTCTAAAAGCGTCTGCTATGATCAGAGATTTGGGGTTGGGGAAACAGGTACATGGCTTGTGTCAGAAGCTAGGGTTTATAGATGAAGAAGACTCATATCTCTCGGCCTCCTTTATACGTTTCTACGGGGAGTTCGGTTGTTTGGAAGACGCTAATCTTGTGCTGCGCCAGCTCTCTTATGCTGACACCCTTGTTTGGGCAGCCAAGGTTAGTAACGACTGCAGAGAAGGGGAGTTTCAAGAGGTGATCCGTGGTTTCATAGAAATGGGTAAGCACGGGGTCAAGAAGAATGTCTCCGTGTTCTCTAGCGTTTTGAAAGCAAGTATATGGGTCAGTGACGGTGGGAGAAGCGGGGGAGGAGTGCACGCGGATGCTATAAAGCTCGGGTTTGAGTCTGATTGTTTTGTCCTATGTCGGTTAATCGAGATGTATGGGAAGTATGGGAAGGTGAAAGATGCAGAGAAGGCGTTCTTAAGTAGAGAGGATGAGACGAGTGTTAGCTGCTGGAACGCTATGGTCGCGGGTTATATGCATAATGGGTGTTATATTGAAGCCATCAAGCTTCTCTATCAAATGAAAGCAACTGGTATAACAGTACAGGACACACTCTTGAGTGACGTCAAGCTCAAGCCCACCTCTAGATATATTAACAAACACTAGGTAAAGAAAATAACTAGCTTGATGGCTTGATATGTAAATAATGAGCTTGAATCAAGCTGCTTGATATGTAAATATCTATATATATATAAGACTATAATATTAGGTGAAAAGACAAATCCCTTGTTTGGTTCACAAGTAATTATTTCGTGAGATGATTAAAGAAATCAGGAGAGAAGGAAAATAATGCATTCATATACAGAGATTGGTTCGGATCTGATCCGGTGGATGTCGGGCGAGAGATTACGGATCTGGATATCTGTTTTGAGTTACAGCTCGGTATATAACTTTGTAATCTTCAGCTAAAGTTTTAGCAACCATGACCACGCTTCAGACCTAAGTTTGGGGATTTGTTTCTGTTCGTCGAACTCGGGAAGGGTGTTGAAGCTGGTAAGCCGGATCGACATGAACGACAAATGAAAGACGGAGTTAAGGAAAAATAATCGAGAAGACATAAAGGCGAGATAATTCTCTTTCCTTAACTCTTAATATTCGTTCCGTAGTGAGACGAATCTGTACGAATATTGAGTCTCAAGATATAACCATGGCAGACGAATTACGCTTCACTCGTGAAACAACCTAACAAACTATAACTCAACGAAATACTCCCGTATTGACTTATGCTAAGGGATTTTTTCAGTTGGTTTTCTCGATGTGAAAAGTAGTAAAAAATATGGAGGAGGAAAGGCAGTCTATAAAGAAGAGATGACGGAGTGGAACGTTGAACAGCTTTCTCCACAAGTTTCTCTCTTTGTTGACTCGTTCTGTTCTATTTCGAACAGATAAACTTCGTGTCGTTTTTAAGCAAACTACACGTCGTTTATTACACAAAACTCATGCTGTTTTTTATAAATGAAATGGCAAAACGTTAAGCTTAACTTGGTCCAAAAAGAATCTTATTGGGCCGGAGGCCCACCAAGAACCAAGACCCACGACGCACGCACCAGCGACGAGCCGAGCCGGACGGACGGCGGCAGCGCGCGTGGGAGGTGAGTTCAGTCTCTCTCATGCGCCATTTGAACAAGTGATAAAGTGAGCACATATATAAATCACTCTATTTCCCCTCTCTTACCCGATGTGGGACAAATCCCATATGTTTCATTAGAGTTAACATGACTTTTAATTAACCCCTTAGCCCACTTCTTTTCCATACCTGCCTTTTTATTAAATAGCCACTAGGCTTTAAATAAAATGGCCCAACAAAGGGAGCCTTCGCTTCCCAAAACGAGGACATGTCTTGTCGTTCTGACAAGGAAAGCTTAATTATGGAAGAGCAAAAGACTTGCACTTTGTCTGAAAGACCGTATTTTTGGAGGAGTGTGTCAAAATCTTTCTTGACGAGTAGGTCTATGTGGTTCTCGACCATTAATTTGATATTGGTTACATATTCTGATCGGATGCAACGTCGTGTCTTAGCAACAGTTATTGGTGTGCACTTAAATAGTTGATGATGAATATTTTCGAGGGCGTTTCATTATTCTCCGAAAGGATATGAAATCTTAGTACAATCCATTCAAGTTAATACACTTATTACATGCAAATGATACATGTGGTGGGGACATCCTGTTAAAGAGTAGAGCATCGACTGAGGTTAACCGACTTGAGTCCGTACTTGTTCGACTTCGCCTTGGCATCTGGCCACTCTTCTTTGATTTGTGCATGAGGCCTCTTGTTCACACATCTGCGGAATTTGAGAAAGTTTAAGAACTTTCTCAAGTGTACAATCATGCTTTTGATGGATACATCTTAAGTTTGGTCCTACTTTGATTGTACCTTAATGATAGGGTCGAGCAAGAAAATGGTCTGTTTTAACCTGAACTTGCATTTTTCTTGAATCAAATGTTGATATGGACCACTTGGTCTCCAAAAATCTCAATTAGACCTATCACTTTTTTATTCTATTTTATATTTAAATTTAAATAGAAATCAGTAAAATAACTAAAAGGTCTAAGGACTTAAACCTATTTACTAACCTATGCCACTAATATCCTATCCAATATCTAACCTAGCTTCAGATCCAAAATCCTACCTAATCTCTTCTTCTTCCTCTTTTCTTCTCCATTCAAAATTCTTGCAGAATAAAACAAAATCAAAACTTTTTTCCAACCATCCACTAATTTTTTTTCTCTTATCTCAATCAGTTATATTTTATCCAGAATCAAATTTCATATTTAACACAAAATTCAAAATAATAAAGAACGCAAAGTATTACTAGTACAACTAATACAACTCAAACTAGTATAACTCACTCTAGTAAAACTAGTATAACTTGTACAACTTGAATTAGTACAACTAGAACAACTAAAATGAGTATAACTAGAATAAATAGATTGAGTATCTCCTATACATTATTTGAGAAGTAATTTTCTTATGTGTCATCACCTTATTCATTTGCACCAAAAAAAAATTATATGGCTTTGAGAAATTATGAAATAGCATCATTTAATTATGAGATGTATAATTTTTTTTATTTGTTTTCAACATATGAAGATGCTAAAATTAAGAATGATGTAGAACCAATAAGACATAGTGGTCTAATCTCCCCAACATGCATGTGTCAAATATATGAATAGTATATTTTTAATAATATTTGTTTTGAAATTGATATGTTTACAAGTTTACTAGTTATACTAGTTATACGATTTTCGGGGAAATATCAGTTTCATCTTTTTAGTCTCGAGGCCAAAGCAAAATGAGGAGCCATAAAATTCTTTAACTATTTCTCTAAAAACGCGAGTCATCGGAAAAAAGAAGAAGAAAAATATTGGGTTAGATGTATGATTTGTGTGTGTGTGTGTGTTTTTTTTTGCAAATAATTGTTTTAATTGTGATATATTAATACAATTTTTATCAACATTGGTAAAATTTTAGTTTGTTTATCAAGATAATAATATATATTAGAAAGAACCAAAATTGCAAAAAATAATATAAATAATCGGTAAAAATTTAACTAAGAATTATTTAACAAAATAAATCATTTTAATCAAATAATTTGTTAAACTTAGGAATATATCACAAAAAGGCCTCGTAACATTGCCATTAACTTAAATTAACAACTTTTGAAAGTTATATTATGTTTTTTGAAAAATACTGAGGTTAGTCAAGTAAGAAAATAGTTAAAATATAAGGTAGATTATGTAAGCTTATAAGATGATGTAATAATTATCAAAACAAAATTACATAAAAATATTTAGGATTGGTAAAATTAGTACAATTACTCGACATTAGTGTTCAACCACAATGTTTAAAACATGATACACGTTTAAAATGTGATGCATACTAAAAAATGAAATAACTTGTACTAGTATTTAAGTTGTACCGATTTGTACATAGTTTTACTTTGGCAGTGAAATCGAAAAGATTGGTTGTACCACATAAAATTTAAAACTACCTAAGTTATACCATTTCTTTATATGTACATGCCTTTGCCCCACTAAAGAATCATTAATTTGGTTAAAATACATTTACTGTATGTTTTTCAAAAATATAATGGATAAACAAGTTAACAAACAATAAAAAATATAAGGCATATAATGATTGTTTATTTGTTTAGCCACATTATTTCTGGAAAAAAGCACATTGAGCATCTTTATACAAAATCTATGATAAATAACATTTGTGAAATAGTATGGACACGTAAATAAGTGGTACAACTAGTATTTGAGTTATACTGCTTTGTACATAGTTGTAAGAGTTTTTTAGTTGTACTGGTTTCTACATAGTTGTACTAGTTTTTGAGTTGTACCGGTTTGTACACAGTTGTACTTTAGCTGTGAAATTCAAAAAACTAGTTGTACCACATAAAATTTAAACTTACCTCAGTTGTACCACTTCTTTATTTGTACATGTCTTTGCCCCAATGAAATGAAATCATCAATTTTGTTAAAACACACTTGATGTATGTTTTCCAAAAATTATGTGGAAAAATAAGTTAATAAACCTTAAAAGTATAAAGTATATCATGAAAATTTATGTGATTGTGTTATATTTGCCAAAAAAATAATTACATATCAAAACAAACTTATCTAAGAACTTATCAGTCTGATAGAATATTTAAATTTCAGAATATGTGGCCAGTTGATTGTTTTTTTTTTCATATGCAAATCTAATAGGATATTTAAATTTCAGAATCTAAATAGTTGTACCAGTTGTACTAGTATGTTCTTCATGGTATATATAATGTAGTTGTACTCGTTCTACTAGTATTACGATACATAGATATATCAGTAGTACCAATATTACAACACAGAAACATGATTGTTATGTTATATGAAGTCCTATCTGACATAAACAATACATTACATAAATAAGTTCACAACACATAAATAAGTTCAATAACACATACGTAATATTCATTGATCATTTCTTTCGTGGCCACTTCCTTCGTTGTCACTTCTTTCGCTTCCACTTCCCTCGCTGCCACTTTAACGCTATCACTTCCTTCATTGTCACCAACCAATGGTGGATACTAGTAATACTAGTTAAACTAAATTGACTTGGCACATGACTACTAAGATTTATACTTGTTTTATCCATACTCTTATTCAATGTTACTTGGAGTTGTATCGGGTTTACTAGTTTAACGATTTGTATAACCAATATCACTTATACTAGTTCTGTCAGTTGTACTAGTGTTACTTTTTATTCGTTGTACCAGATTTACTAGTTTAACGTTTCGTATAACTAATATCACTAATATTAGTTTTGTCAGTTGTATTAGTTTTACTTTATGTCTCGGGTGGGACACAACCGAGAGAAGGAGAAATGAAGAAAAATTAGACGGTTTAGATTACATCTTGCATTATATGATCTAATTGTTTACATTGAATCTTCATTAATGATAAATGGTCTTTTTACAATCCTTGGTCCATGATAGATTTTTTTTGGTGGTTGTAGATTACTTATTGTCCTTTTAGTCCATAATAGATTTTTGTCCCTTTTCCTTAGTGAACTTGTAGTAGTGTGTATTTCATATTGAACTAAATAAAAACTTAAAAAATACTACATGAACTTTACTCATCATGCCTTTTCATTC